GGTGATGATGATGGTGATGATGGTGATGATGATGGTGATGATGATGGTGATGATGGTGATGATGATGATGATGATGGTGATGATGATGATGATGATGGTGATGATGATGATGATGGTGATGATGATGGTGATGATGGTGATGATGATGATGATGATGATGATGATGATGGTGATGATGATGATGGTGATGATGGTGATGATGATGATGATGATGGTGATGAAGATGATGGTGATGATGATGGTGATGATGGCGATGATGATGGTGATGATGATGATGATGGTGATGGTGATGATGATGATGATGGTGATGATGATGGTGATGATGGTTATGATAGTGGTGGTGATGATGATGATGATGGTGATGATGATGATGATGATGGTGATGATGATGGTGAAGAGGATGGTGATGGTGGTGATGATGATGGTGATGATGATGATGAAGATGATGGTGATGGTGAGGATGGTTATGTTTTCTCTGCTCCAGCCGTTCCCACATGAGCGGGACTCCAGATTTCCGGTACCCGGTGTCGGTGTCGTCAGCGATGGACAGTCAGTACAGCGGTGCGCTGGTGCTCAGGAGACCTCAGAAGGGGAGAGTGTCTGCACTCAGAGACGAGCCGTCCAAGGTGACACACACACACACACACACACACACACACACACACACACTTGAGCAGGCCCGATGTTCACTGGTGTAGATGAGTGTGTGATTGAGATGCAGCTGCTGTAGTTATGGGATCAGCCGCAGTGTTTCCGCTGATCTGCTGTCAGTGATGTGCTCCTGCAGTGATCAGGCTGAGTGGAGATGACCTGCAGCAGGAATCCCGCTGTACAGAGAATACACACACGGATCTGAGAGCGGTGTGTGTTCAGTGTCGCAGCTTCATCAGGGTGTGTTTCCTCAGGTGCAGACGCTGGACGAGCAGGACTGGGACCGGCTGCAGCAGGCTAATGTTCTGGCTAACGTAGCGCACGCGTTTGAGAGCGACATGGACATGTCAGACGTGGAGGACGACAGAGAGACGGTCTTCAGCTCCATGGACCTGCTGTCTCCTGCTGGAAAGGCGGACGCTCAGACGCTAGCGCTAATGCTACAGGAGCAGCTGGACGCCATCAACAACGAGATACGGTACACACACACACACACACACACACACATTTATTTTATAAATAATATTATACTCCAGTGTTTTTGAACCATGTGTTTCATTCTGTATATATTATACTACTTACAACCTTTCATTAATGAATGCTACAGCATATTGTATTAACTATAGTGAACTAGTAAACTGTAATAAATGCTGTATTATTTCTTAGTTTTAACCCAAAACTATGAATAATTGTAGTATAATAGTAGAAAACTACAGTATTTGGTCATCTGTTTATAATTATATTGTTTTGGTTTAGCATATCGAGTACAGAATCACCATATATAACCATTACATTTAAACATGCACTGTATGAACATTTAAAAAAAATACATGATAACATTTTATCTACAATCAAACCTCTTCACAAACTGAAATATCAAACATTTTAAGAAGTTAGATAGTCACTAGAACACAGAATGTCTTGTAACCTTGTAATTATTCACCAGTAACTGCATGTCCAATCATTCCACAAGGACCTGAAAAACAGCTTAAAATAATTTAAGAGGAAGTACAGCGTGTCACACTCTCACTTGCTGCCCAA